GCATACACCCCCACCCCAGGCATCCACCTCACAGCCGGAGTTTCCACCTCCGCCACCGCCACCCCTGCCAACGGCCGAACCCGTCACTCCACCACCATCGACTTTCCAACACAGCCCACCGCCACCACCCACCACACGTGGCAACACAGCGCCTGCCCCACCACCCCCACACATCCCATCCCCCACACCACCTGTTCCCGACTCCTGGAACCCAACCGAGCAACATTGGGACTCCAACACCCTGCACGGCCACCAACTACATCGTACAATCCAACCCACCCAGTGGTCTCGAAAAGCAGGTGTGGCAGGACTCCCCACCTTTGAGGTTTTCCCGTGGCAATTGGCTTACCACGGTACCTCCGAGTTCACCGCCCGTACCCTGAGCAACGGCAAATTCACAGGTTTTATTGCCACCAGAAGCATAGCGGAGTCAGTTTTCGTGACCCATTTTCTCCAACAACTCCGTGAGAACCGCCTTGACCTTGACGGCATCGCGGAGGCCCTCCACACCCAACAGAGCACAGACATTCCCAACAAAACCACCCATGCCCGAGCGTTTCACGCTCCCCTCATCAAACTGCTTATTGACCAACTGCAAACCCACTCTCCAGCACCTGCGGAAGGCTCCGCTCTACGCGCCCTCAAAAACACCAACGACGAACTGGCTCGTGCACGTCAGAAACTCCAAGACCTGGGCAACCCACTCACACCAGTCAAGAACACCAGCCGATCTTCCGCACCAGCCGCCCCATCTCACGCACCCACTCCACCACCACCGAAACCACCAGCCCTCACCGACGTCTTGCAACCACCACACCCCACGCTGCAAGACGATATCCCCGAAGGCTGGAACCACCCAGAGATCCAACAATGGGTCACTACTTTCGACCCCACCATCCAAGAAGCTGCGAAGGACGTCATCCGTCTGCTGCAAACAAGCAAAGTCACCACGCAGCAGCTAAAAGAAGCAGCCACCAAGTATGGCCTACCCCTCAACCGGGTCAACCGACTCCCCATTCGCAGCCTACAACAGCTGGTGGGAGTTGGAGCAGCCATCGGTTGCTGACTCGCCATTCTGGCCCAGCAGCAACCCAGCCACACCAACCTCACCCAACTCTTCCACCTGCACAGAGCACTTTCTATCCTCATCCACCGCACCCAATACATCGACCGTGCCGAAGCCATCTTTGCAACCGGCCTTCTCCATATCACCCTCCTTTTCGCATACCCTTCCAACACCCGTCGCTCACAACAATGGCGCAATCGCCTCCGCCAGCTCCACATTTTGCCCCACACCTACCACTACCACAACTTCCTCTCCTCCAATTCCGTCTACATCAAGCCCCACTTCAATCCCGACCAGCCCCAACGCTGCTACCATCAGCATGGCCACTTCTATGTTGGCTCCACAGCTATTGGCATCCCCCACCGCGAGCATAATCGCCGCGCCAAACTCAAACAACTCCAAAATAACATTCCCATTTCTGCAGAACTCTCCCTACGTTATTGGCATTCACATAACAACATCCACCACTACACCACTATTCAACTTACCTCCCATGACACATACGACCAAGCCTGGATCCAAGAGCACCATTACATCGCAAACTGGATGCCTCCGCTCAACTGGCCTTTCATTTCCCACCACCTCAAACTCAAAGCTCAGGGGTGGCAGTTCGCGAAACACAGAGCCCACTTCTACTCCAGATTAGCCACCCACAAACGACTTTTCCGACGCCTTCGACAACGCCAGTACACCCTCAGAGAACCACACCTCTACACCTCCACTAAGCATCACGCCCTCCAACTTCTTCGCAACCTTACCAAACACACCGCAGCCTCCTTTGAAGCAGCTAAAGAGCTACGAAGCGGACGCCACACGGACCTCGAAGTCTATGCAATCCGGCGCATGGCCGCAAACCTGGAAGAACCCGGCCGCAGCCGAGCCCTCCACATCCTCAACAAAGCCTTGATCTACCGCAACCTCACGCCACCAAAACCAAACATCCCACTGACAGTGCCCTTCTTGGCCCATGACGACTTTACCAAGCACTGCCAACAGTGGCTTCGTACTACCATCCAGCAGCACAAGCATTTCGCCATTCCCCTCCACCTCCCCTCCCACAGACTGCGAGAAGCCGCCCACAAAACCCTCCGCTCTCACCTGCACAACCACCGCACATGGGAAGACACCCTCCACTCCCCACCAGATCCAGCAGACCTTCCCTGCGCATGCGATCACCTGCGCACCCTCTTGCAGGATCCCGATACCCCTACCATCAACGGCCACTACATCCTTACACTTGACCAACTCCAACTCCCTACACACCTCGGCATTTTTCTCAACGCCAATATGAACAGCACCTATTACCCAAGCAAAGCTCGCTACTTCCTCATTTTCAAGACGGCCTACACCAAATGGCTCAAACTACAAGGGCTTCCACCATCCCTTGTTCAGCATCTACAACCCTTCCTTGAGCACCAATGGCGCCTTCATAACACACACCTCAAGCAGCAACCCCGTTTTACGGCCCGCCTGCTTCGTCAACTGCAAGAACATTTGGGCAAACACACATTACTCCACCATGCCGATCATGAGCTCCAACAACTTCGGCTGTTTTGCCCTCGACAATACTTCACTGGAGCCTTGAACACCTGGCAATCCCCCGAACTTTTCGAACCACTTCCCTACATCACTGCCGCCAACATCCACGACCACCTGACCGCCACAGTCCCCTCCATCCTGCGCACCCGCTACAAGTGGGGCTTCCGAAAAGACTTCAACATCCCCTACGGGGTTGTCCACCTCAAAGAGAAGAAGCACTGGCAAAAAGGCCGTACAATCATATCATACTTCCAATCACTAAGTGGCAACCTGCTACGCATCACCAGCCGTGCCCTTGACATTATCCTCCAACACCTCTACCCTCAACATCCAGGCCAAATGTCCATTCCCCAGCTTTGGCACCACTTTCACAGTTACCTCACCCAAACCCCACCAGACATCTCACTACACGCCACCAACGATGACCTGGTCGGCTTTTTCAACTCCGTCCCCCAGCACCGACTCATCGATGCAGTCCACTCCCTCGTCCACCACTGGCAACAACAGCAATCCACACACACCCTAACGGTGGATGTCCAGGCCACCGGCAATCCTTTCCACCACTCACACATTGGCAGACACCATCGGAAACACCCTACTCAACGCACCATCCAGACTTCCGACATCACCACCATCGTGGCTTTCGCCCTCAACACATGCATTTTCCGGGCTTGCAACAACACTTACAAACAAATCCGAGGAGCCGGGATTGGATCCCAGCTCTCTCCAGCCCTATGCAACGTTGCCATCACTCTCATTGAGCACTCCTGGCATCAGATCCACAACAACCTCCTTCAACACACAGACCTCCATTTTACTTACTATCGCTATGTCGACAACCGCTTCATTGTCCACAACGAACATTTCCTTCAACACCCGGCTATCCAAACCCTTATCCACCACAATTTCTTTGGCGACCCTGTGGAACTAGAACCGGTGGAGGATTTCCATCTCCTCGGTTTCAACATCGACCTCCCACAACGCACCATCACCTACATGCAACCTTCTCAACCCTGGAAAATCCGGGATTCCACCACTGCCGGGAGCCAGCGCTTGGCTCTATCAGGCCTCCAATCACGACTTCACACCATTCGAAAATACACATTTCCACCCTCCAGCGCTGACGCTGCCGCGGCTGAACTTGTGAATCTATATGTCCAAAAGGGGCATAACTACCACGCCTGCCACCGGTTTTTGAAAAAGCGCCGAACGCGGCGCCCTGTGTGTGTCCAACCCTGGACAAAAGGTTTTCCACCACCACTCTTTCTACCCTACATGAGCAGGGGGGCAGAGAAGACTTGCAAGGCTCTGCCCAACGAAGCTCCTTGCAAGATCCTAGGATGCGGAAGCTGATCACTTCCGTGTACCTGCTCGTTCCTTCACAAGCTGTTACTCCACTTTTCCACTTTTTGTTTCATGGTTCTTCACGATTTCCACCCCATAAACATTCGTCCCCAGCAGCTCTGCAGCCGGTTCGCGTTTCCGCAGCTTGCGAGTGCCAACATTGTTCAACAATACAGTTTAAGCTGACCTTTCCACCTTGCTGTTCCATCGCCTTCCTTCCCAATGAGACAATTGCGTTAACTGAAAACCCAAGTTCGAAGTGTGTGTCGAAGTGATGGGGCCCCGTTGTCGGTGCTCAAAGGCCGAGCATCCATTCTGACCAGGAAGCCGGTCCGACAGCCTAGCGTTGGAATTCAAGACCCTTGGTACAAGAGTTGTCCGGCCAAAACGGCGAAAGAGCGCAGCGTGAGTTCTTGCAATGCCATCGTGCCCCCTAAGAAAGTCTTGACTCCTTTTTGCAGGTGGAACCCCAACGAAATTTGATGCTCGAAGAAGACCCAGGGTTCGCCACGGGAGAAAGGTTTTGGCCGGGTATGTTTTGGACAACGCAGACTTGACATTGACTCAACGTGACCGCTTTTTGGTCATTGCTGCTACATCGTTGTATCTAGTCTGTTGCGAAACTGTGTGGCCAAATTACGTCTGCGACGTCCCAAGCGGCTTTGCGCGGCCATGGAAAGTGCGTTTGCGGGAAGGAAAACATGGTCTTAATTCGGCGCGTCGGCGCGCACGGTGTTGCATGGGTTTAATTACATCTGTGATGCAGCCTCGGTGGAAAGCGTGTTTGCATCAGTCTGGCAGGACCTGAATCCACACATTATCTCTCGGGCCATCCGAAGGATGCGAAGGAAGCTCGAAGTGGCGTCGCCACTTGAATTTCAGCTGTGGATGGTCACCAGCGTGTCTTTTTCCACAGCACTTAGGGGTAGCGACGTCGTGCGTGAACTGCATCTGTGGATAAAAGGCTTGCAACCTCACACTTATATGGCTTTCTGGCTATTCTTTGTGAGCCTCTTTCGACCTGTTCGTGTCCTTGTGTGCGTTTCTTCGCCTGCATTGTGAATAAATGCCAAGTCATGATGGCTGGCAGGACGCTATGGCAAATCCTCAAAAAGCGCGACATTCAAATCCAGGCAGAAGAAAGAAGTAGAACGGTCCAAGCGACAGAAAGAAGTAGAACGGGTGAATCAATTGAAACCTCGCACTGCTCGCTCAAACGGGAGACGCAACTGCTTTCGGCCGAGTGCGACACATGAAGAGCAACTGGATGCAATCCACAAACCTCAGAAGATTCGCAACTGTCTGCAAAACGCCTGACGGAATTGCACTATTACTGCGCAATCAACCTATCTGAAGGCACACTGAACAAGACACTGCCTTTGTCGAACTTTGGGTTTGGCCACAGGAGCAGCCACAGGGGCAAGATCACAAAGCTAGGCCTTGGATTTGCGTCAGGCCCGACATTCGGGTGACCTCGACTCCAGCCGTTCAGTGCGACTCTGCAACTTATTTCCAAAATTAAATGCTGTTCTTGTGCGACTCGTGCACGTTTCAATGTGGAGAGCACACATCTTAAATTTGACACAGAAACATGACATCTCTTCATCACCGAACGAAATCACACGTCATCATGACTTTTCATCACTCAACAAGTCATCATCGTTATTCATCATTATTTCCTATAGTTGATATGTGTATAAATTTGCGGCCACCGGCTCTGTCCGAGATCAACAATTAGTTGTTCCATTCTATTTTGTTCCCTCTTTGTAAGAAAATCAAGACTTCACGCAACGGCTTCGAACTGTCCAAAGGATGCCCTCCATTTTCGATGGGCTTTGTCCAAAACTCCGTCACTTCGGTCGAAGCTCCGAACCTGCTTTCATCGTTGGTCAGTCTAGTAGCTTCTTGTTACTACTAGCGATGCACCTGTTACTAATAGCTTCTTGTTTCTACTAGTAAGGCACTTGTTACTGGTAGCTTCTTGTTACTACTAGTAAGGCATCTGTTACTAGTAGCGTGGCACCTGTTACTACTAGCCTTCTCGCCGAAACGAAAACCACACCTCTCCACGGTCCAATGATGCACTCGGCACACTCACCAAACGGCAAGGCGCTTCAGCAAGAACTGCCGAAAAAGCCTCACGACACGAGACATGTTGCGCAATGCATCAAATTTGTTTCCATCTGCTTTCTCATGTTTTGTTTGGACTTTCAGTTTCTCAGCTGGATGCTGCTGCCGCGGCCTTGCCACTAAACACAACCAAAATTGTTGCACGTGATTGGCGCCGGCCTCTCTTCATGCGGCTGCATTAACAGGATTGGCAGCATGGTGACCCTGCGGGGCGCACAGTTTCGAATTGCTAAGCCTGTACTGGACTTTTGTTTTGCCGTCTCCTTTCCTGGGACCCCGACCATCCGAACATCAAACTGCAGACCTCGACTCAACAAGTTCAAAGTGTCCTTTTTTACTCGCTGTCTGGACCAACAAACCAACGCAAACAGAAGGCTCCACCAAAACCATGGCGTTGGTTGCTATGGTGGTCACTATAGACCAGAGTTGGGAGGCTACATTGGACCAAACACCAAAACCCAACTACGCCAGAGGAATCTACATCGGCAAGGGTCCTCTAGACGGGAGCCAAACATGGCATTTGCGCAAGGGCGACGGTGGGAGCACGTCAGGCAGAGGCTTCCTCGTAACCGCGCACACACCCGGGCACACTAACCTCCATGTTCGCACAAACGATGTTGCCATGGTGAACCTTCACTGGCACGTGGGCACAGTCACCCGTCCGCAGTCCCGAACACAAAAGGTTGATGATCATCCTTCACACAACGTTGCCCACGGCGATGATGACTAGCTTCGCCACATGGGCAGGGTCACTGTCCAGCGACACTGAGCGCACAGGCACTGACACATATTTAGGAACAAGAACGCTACGAACGGAGCAAGGACGCTACTTACGGGCTCCTGACCTTACTAGTAACAAGAGAAGCTACTAGATCTACCTTGCTTGGACACCTCCTGGAGTTCAAGGCTCAAAACAATCACAGTGCTTTTCCTCGAGCCACTCAAGATATCGGCGCGCATCTTTTTCTTCTCAAGCACTTCATGGCACCGTACCGGTGAACGACCGGAGGCATTGACCCCACCAAGCAAACCCACACGGTGTCATCTTTAGCCGTTTATATGGTTTATACTGTAACTAGTTGGCTCAAGGACATGACAAATGAAGATTTCGCACAGCGATGTGCAGAGTGGCACGCGGCTTGTATTGTCACGTCAATCTTTTTGGATCGGAGCGGCAGACGGAGTCACATCTCGATGCCAAGCACAGGGAACAGTAGGCGAGTGTGAGCCCGGAGGAGTGGAGTGGGTGCCACCTGGTATCTCTCCATGTTTGCAGAGTTAGCTTGTTTTGCCGCTTGCATTGCTTGTTCTTCTGTTCACTCGTCATCGTGCTTTGAGAAAAACGCAGCACCAGGAGACCTCAAGCACAATCATGCCCAGACCTCCAGCACCAAGAAAACATGTATATTTCCAGGGTGTTACCATCTGTTTTCACGCTGACATGTTTTCCTGTGTGTTGAGGTCTCCAGGCCTCGATACCAAACCTCAGCTCCTATATATATAACGCGTTTCAAGCACTAAGAAAAAAAATCCACTAAGCGACGTGTATCTACCAGTAACAAGGTTTCATCCACGATGATCCGACGACGATGGCGACAATGAAAAGGCTTCACAGGCACACGGGCACGGTCACAGTCCACGGTCCCGTGGACGCACGATGTTGACCCGAGTTCAAACTACGACGTTGCCCGCGAAGAAAATGACGACTCAGCTTCACTGGCAAAACAGGCAGGGTCACTGTCCATGGTCACACGGACACAATGTTAAATGCTGCCAGCGTCCGTGAGCACAACTCTACGACAAGGACAACTCCACGTGACAGCACCATGCTCGTGCGAGCACCATGACGATGACAGTGGAATGCAATCAGCACGCAGTTGCGGTCACGAAGTTGACCTCCGAAGCTGAGGGCTCGGTCTACGTTTCCCCCGCGTGCGCGCACAGCAAGGCCAAAGCCGATGCGCTTCTACACCCCACGGCTTCGAGCTGGTACAGCTCGCGCAACGATGGAAGCGGGTCTGTTCACTTGAGTCCATGAAGGGGTTTGACATGACCCTTGCTGACAGTTTCCTAGGAATTCAAAATGAAACGCGCTTGAGCAGTTGAGGCGATGGCAGCCCAGCTGGTCAAGATCTGAGGCTCTTCGTCCTCCGGACAAAACTCAAAAAACGGATTGGACATCTGACCTTTTCCCATCCTGTGTTTTTCTCTCTTCCTGTCCCGTTAAGATCTTTGTGGACCTTTTTGCGATTTGTTTCTTCTTTTCCTTCGAACTCACCAAGTGGAGATGGCCTTTCATGCCTGTCAACCTGGACCAATCCATCTCAATTTGCACAGCGATCGACGAAACGGAACATCGAAGGACTTGCAACCTTGCAACATCCGTCTTCCGCTGACAACCTTGAATATGACAAAGGTAGATGATGGTCCAAAAAACCATACACTATACAGTTGCTGTCCGGCGCTATCTTCTATTTTTGTCTTGGAAGATTGTAAGTTCAAGGATTGAAAAGGAAAAACAAACCGACGGCGCCCAAAAGGTGCCGACTGTACAGACATGAAACCTAATCGAAAAATATTACGTTCCTTTATCTTCAATATTGTCTTATATTGATTCTATTTTACTTGAATGATTTGTTTGAACGGGGTAAATTCAAGCAAGCCATCTATGATGTACTTGACATACAGTCTGATACGTGTCATACTCACAGCATGACACGCCCAAATGCCCCCCCCCCCCTCCCCTAAAGACGAAAGGGTCACACACAAACATTACATCGTAAAATAAGAGCACCCCACCTGCGGTTGGATGCAACTCTTCATTTGTGTGCTTTGTCCTTCTGGGATTTCTTGCCCATCAAACTCATTCAAGGGAAAAGGGCGCTTAAAAATAACGCTTGTGGTAGTAGTTTGATGAAGATGTGATCGCGACGAACGAATGGATGATAACTTCTTTGTTTTTTATCGATTCCCCTTGATAGATGGCGAGGTAAGCCATTCACACATTTTTAAAGAATATTGATCCCTGCGTTTCTTTTGATCATCGTGGATCTGCTTGACGGGCCACTTAGGTCACCGTGCGTCAAAAAGGCCAACTTGACTTTCAAACGGTCCCGCTGAACTTGGCAGCTACTATATTGGCAAGCAGCATTCTGAATTTCTAACTGACCTTAGCAGCTACATGGCAACTTGCTTTCTATACGGCAAGCTGCTTTCGTTTCACGCAGGAGGAGTCAGCTGAAACGAACCTCAGGGAGCCCAGCAGCCCAACTCGGAAGCTGGTTGATCCCACTGGAGTCGGGGACACAAGCCATCGCACCGGCAGATTTGCCGTCTCACTCCTTTTTCTGCCCACCTGAAGGCTTTAGGCGCGTTCGGAATTTTTCTGTCGATCTCTGCGGATCGGGACCAAACAGACCCACTCAACGCTTCCTGACCCACCTTGTCAGCCATGTGGCAAGCTTTCTACAGAAGCGGCTTTCCAGGACCTGGACACTGGCCAGCCTGGAACCGGGGGTTATTGCAAGAGTGACACAGCAAGAAAACACCGACTGGTCTGCTGCTGGAGAGTCAAACGCAAGGCTCTGATTTCCATTGCCGAACTGAAGTCATCACTCCAGCAATCTTTGGTTCCCCATCCAGCGGGAGGGAAAACACAAAGGCCGGCGCGCTGACAAAGGTCTTCTTGTATCCAAATTTCTGCGCTTCCATGTAAGTCCAACAGAACCCTGGCCTGCTGTTAGGAACTCGGGAGCTGGGATCAACTTTGCACGGCTCAACACCCAACATGGCGCTCACTGCATCTCTGGCCGAGATATTCGTGCCGGACACGTTCTCAAAACAGCAGAAGAGGATGTGGGGTAGCTACTTTTTATCTGGGGGCCGGAGGTTCTGGCGGTTAATCCTGGACAGGTCCGCACAGGAACTGCACACGCCGTCAGCCAGGGAGGCACATGACCGGGCACAGGAAGCTGGTTGGGCCATAGGAGCGGGTCACGCGAGCCATCCCACCAGATTTCATAGAGAAGAACCACCCAAATAAACCATCATATTCAGTCTATTTTTGTGGGCGCAGGATTCATGAGATTCTATCACGGATTCTTTTCACCACAGATTTCCTCCCTAGCATAATGGAAAAAGATGCATCTAGGGTTGTTTGTATTGATCTTTGATTGTTGTCGGAATATTTTGTAAATATATATATATATATAATATTAATCGTGACTCTGTTTTATGGTTACCTTTGTCTATGTTTTTGTAAAACAAAAACGACTTGCAATGAAGCTGTCCGCCTGTAAGAATAATATCTTCGTGTCCCTTTCGTATCTGTCCTTCTCATTTATGGACAGGGATAACAACCAGAAAACAAATAGAAACAATATGGCCAAATATTAATGAGAAACTACCTGAGAAGGGCGGGGGCGAAAGTCAGCCTCCGCAAGGAGATATGAATTAGTCAGCGGGGATGAACGCGAGAGCGCAGGGGAAGCGTTGGGAGGCATAAGGCGGGCCGACATGATAGGCCTTCAGTCAAAGGTGGGGGGGCGGGGCGCTTTTTTTCTTGCTTCTAAATCATTAGGCTGGATATGGCACAGAAGAGCGCACACACTTTTGAAAATTGCATATTGATTTGATGCGGTTTGCCACACGCCAACCTGGGTACCCAAATCCTGACCAGATCAAGTGAAAACCAAAAAAGCCTGGAGGTCCTCAAACGGAAGAGGGGCCAAAAGCTCAAGCCGATCCCGAGGCGACAAATGACGATGTAGCGTGCAGGTCTGCAGTACACAAGAAAATACAAGAAAACCTAAATTTAAGCAGGTTTAGGGGAATATCATGCAAACACCATGGAAACAGACCACAGCGGTGGAAGAGTGGAGTGTTGTCACACACGCAGGTACGTTTACGCGCAGGTGGGGGGTGTCTTCGTTGGCCGGAGAACGCCCACCTGGCTCCGGCCCCCTGCAAGTTAAAGTAAAAACCCATTTACAATCCGACAGGACTTGTGTGATTCCAAGGGTTACACACACACACTTACCCGGCAAGACACCCCAACAGTGTGTGAGGTCTACAAGCAGAAAGTCTAGAGATCTAGACGCATTGGGGTCCAGAGAGGTGATGGTGGCGATGAGGGTGGGGATTGTGGTGACGGTGGCGGTGGTGGTGAGTGAGTGTGTGAGTGCGCGTGAGAGTGAGAGGGAGAGTGAGAATGAGAGTGGGAGAGTGAGTGAGAGTGAGAATGAGAGTGAGTGTGAGTGAGAGTGAGTGTGAGTGCGAGTGCGAGTGTGAGTGAGAGTGAGTGTGAACGTGAATTTGAGTGTGAGTGTGAGTGTGAGTGTGAGCGTGTGCGAGTGAGCGAGAGTGAGGGTGAGAGGTGAGAGTGCGAGAGTGAGAGAATGAGCCTCTGAGAGCACAAAGTGCCGCGCCTGCTACGAAATCTGCACTTTGAGGTTCACAAAGTCCTGCGCCTGCCATGTGCACTTCGAGGTTCACCAAGCGCTGTGCCTGCCACGAAATCTGCCCTTTGAGGTTCACCACGTGCTGTGCCTGCTACGAAATCTGCACATCGAGGGTGCGCCTGCTACGAAATCTGCACATCGAGGTTCACCAAGTGCTGTGCCTGCCACGAAATCTACACTTCGAGGTTCACCAAGTGCTGTACCTGCCACGAAATCTGCACTTCGAGGTTCACAAAGCGCCGTGCCTGCCACGAAATCTGCACATCGAGGTTCACCAAGTGCTGCGCCTGCCACGAAATCTGCACTTCGAGGTTCACAAAGTGCTGTGCCCGCCACGAAATCTGCACTTCGAGGTTCACAAAGTGCCGTGCCTGCCACGAAATCTGCACATCGAGGTTCACCAAGTGCTGTGCCCGCCACGAAATCTGCACTTCGAGGTTCACCAAGGGCTGTGCCTGCCACGAAATCTGCACATCGAGGTTCACCAAGTGCTGCGCCTGCCACGAAATCTGCACTTCGAGGTTCACAAAGTGCCATGCCTGCCACGAAATCTGCACATCAAGGTTCACCAAGTGCTGCACCTGCCACAAAATCTGCACTTCGAGGTTCACAAAGCGCCGTGCCTGCCACGAAATCTGCACATCGAGGTTCACCAAGTGCTGCGCCTGCCACGAAATCTGCACTTCGAGGTTCACAAAGTGCTGTGCCCGCCACGAAATCTGCACTTCGAGGTTCACAAAGTGCTGCGCCCGCCACGAAATCTGCACTTCGAGGTTCACAAAGTGCTATACGCCTGCCACGAAATCTGCCCATCGAGGGTCACAGAGCGCTGTGCCTGCCACGAAATCTGCACAAAGGGAGAGCGCTGTGCCTGCCACAAAATCCAAAAGTCACGATTCACTGCACCTGTCACGAAATCTGAGTTGCTTGACGATCACCACCATGTACAAAGTGCTGCACCTGCCACGAAAACTGCATTTCGATTTAACAGCTCCGATCCCTTGCACCTGTCACGAAAAGTCGACTTTGGAGCACCAAAACACAAGGTTTCCCTCGCGCCTGCCACGAAAAGTGACCACCATGTACCAAAATGCGCACGGCACTACAACGAGAGCGCAGTCGCTATAAGCACCCACCCAGATTCTGCGAGCCTGCGCAGTCGAAATGCACATTGATGATGTCGAGGCATGAATGTACTGTAAATAGCAACGAATTAGCCGTTCACGCCGGCGCGCTTCAGCGATCTAAGCGTCAGCTGCTTTTCACTCACCGTAAGAACCCCTCAGTGTGCCCACACTGCTTGGGGAATAAGAGAAAACACACACAAAATGAAATTTGTCCATATTACTCATAATATCCGTTTGGTCTTATTCTGCGCGATTAATTGTAAGGATTTCTTCGTTGTCACTGCTATTATCTGTCCCTTACTTTAAGATGTTTGTTAGATTTTGGCTTACTTTTCTTCTCCTTTTGTAGTTATATTGTATCTTTGACTTGTTTCCTTGGGATTGGTCTTGTCTTGCATATGCGGTTGTCAAAAACACATTGCGTATTGCGCTTGTTCGCTCCTCCATGGCAACACAGGCCTGAGGCAGCAAAAAACCAACGACCCTGCCGGACCCTGGACCCTGGACCCTGAGGTCTCTGCAAAGCGTGGCCCTGGCGGACATTTCTCAACTCGAAATCGAGACTGGCAGCATGTCGTTGCGGCACCTCGTTCGACCGGCGCACTTGAAGCGGCGATCTTCGCCGCTTTCGAACCGTCCGCATCCGCGTCATCCGCGTCATCTGCGTCCGCTGTGCCAACTTGCTCTGCCTGCGGCGGAAAGAAATCGCAGGACTCGGATTCGCAACGTTTCTCTTGCCGCCTGTGCTCCAACAGTCTCAGCTTCCACAGATCCTTCGAAAGGAGACTCTGCTCTCGTCTTGTCTTCCGCTTGGGTATATGAGGGATTCCTTCAAAAGGTACCCAGGAGAGAAGAGTCTGACCGCAAGATTATGAACAACCCGTCATCTTTCACTTGGAACACCCAAATTCTGTCCGAGTTGAGGCCATTTTTGTTGATGTTCCTACTCGTACTTTCAGTGCGCGTTCTCTCTCCTTCTGCAGTCCTTTCACCTCACGAAGAAGACTCCACTCTGACTCCACTGCAGCATCGCCAAGGCAGTTGTCTAGATGTTCAGGCAATGATTCGTGTTTGACATTTCTTCTCTAAGAGCTCCACTGAAACCATTTCCCTCAGCTTCACAGCGCTGCTTTACGCGCTCACGCAGAATCTGTCTTTCCCTCTCAGCTTGCTGCGGCGAAAACGCCTCAGGAACAAACAAAAAATGTTGTTTAAAAGATAAATGTTTGGTTTAAAAAACAAAAAATTGTATATTCCGTAAAAAATGTCGAATCGGAAATTCTGTTGCGGCCTTCAACCGCCAAACACCGCATTCACGTTCGAAACGGCAACATGCAATGCGCCAAGGTCGCTGGATTCGAAGTCACTGGGATGGTCTCTGCTCTCAGTCAACCAAAGTGTGACCTCCAGCGATTGCTAACCAGTGAACCTGTGAACTAGGAACAAGGACGCTACTAGGGGCTCTTGGAAGGACGCTACTAGGCGCCCCTGGCCTTACTACTACTAACAAGGACGCTACTAGAGGCCCCTGCCCTTCCTACTGACGCTACTAGGGGTCCTGGCCTTACGACTAGGAGCAAGGACGCTACTAGGAGCTCCTAGCCTTACTACTAGTAACAAGGTAGTAACAAGGACGCTACTAGGGGCTCCTGGCCTTACCACTAGTAACAAGGTAGTAACAAGGACGCTACTAGGGGCTCCTGGCCTTACTGCTAGTAACAAGGACGCTACTCCCCTGGCCATGCTAGTAACAAGGACGCTACTAGGGCTCCTAGCCTTACTACAAGCAACAAGGACACTACTTACTACTCGCTAATAGGGGCTCCTGGCCTTACTACTAGTAACAAGGACGCTACTCGCCTTACTACTAGTAACAAGGACGCTACCAGGGGCTCCTGGCCTTACTACAAGTAACAAGGACGCTAGTAAGTAGGGCCTCCTGGCCTTGCTACTAGAAACAATGACGCTACTAGCCTCGCCTTACTACTAGTAACAAGGACGCTACTAGGCGCTCCTGGCCTTAGTACTAGGAACAAGGATGCTACTAGGGGCTCCTGGCCTTACTACCAGTAACAAGGACGCTACTAGGGCCTCCTGACCTTACTACTAATAACAAGGACGCTACTAGGGGCTCCTGCCCTTACTACTAGTAACAAGGACGCTACTAGGGGCTCCTGTCCTTACTACTAGTAACAAGGACGCTACTAGGGGCTTTTCGCCTTATAATGGCAATGGCCTCCAACTTATGAGCGATGGCCTTCCAACCTAAGAACGATGGTCTCCAACTTAAGAGCGATGGCCTCCAACCTAACAGCAATGCAATGGCCTCCAGCCTAAGCGCAATGGCCTCCAACCTAAGAGCGATGGCCTCCAACATATTCTAACTGCCAGTCCAAAACCAGGATACCTTGCAGAGACAAAGCTAGACCTCCAAACCTGATAGCGATGGCCCCCTAATAGCGATGGCGAGCGATGGCCTTGAGCTTAAGACCGATGGGCTCCAACCAACCTACAGTAATAGCAATGGCCTCCAACTTATGAGCGATGGCCTCCAACCTAATAGCAATGGCAACTGCCTCCACCCTAAGAGCGATGGCCTCCAACCTAAGAACGATGGTCTCCCCCCTAGTAGCGTCCTTGTTACTAGCAGTATGGCCAGGGGAGTAGCATCCTTGTTCCTTGTAGTCAGGCCAGGAGCCCCTAGTAGCGTCCTTGTTACTAGTAGTAGGGACAGGAGCCCCCAGTAGCGTCTTTGTTTCTAGTAGTAAGGCCACAAGTAGCGCCCCTTGCCTTACTACTACTAACAAACACGCTACTAGGGGCTCCTGGCCATACTACTAGTAACAAGGACGCTACTAGGGCTCCTGGCCTTACTACTAGCAACAAGGACGCTTAACAAGGACGCTACTAGGGGCTCCTGTCCTTACTACTAGTAACAAGGACGCTACTATAGGGGCTCCTGGCATCG